CAGAATTCTGAGTCTGTGATAGAATGTGAGAGAAAATGTGCAACAGGGTTCTACTGGAGTCACTCAACGAAGATGAAAAGCTGTGATCTTAATCATAGAGTCATTCAGCTGAAGCATAAAGCTAGGAAGCAGAACCAAAAGTCGACGTGGTGATGGGGCATCTCGAGCGAATCAAGTAGACAAGTGGGTGTGAACAGCTGAAGCAGATAGTGGAGTCTGCAGGATAAAGGTGTGAACAGTTGGAGCAGATAGAACAGTATGATGGATATGAAGTGGAGGCCACTTAAGTCAACAAGGAGCAGATGAGAGAGTATGATGGATATAAAGAGGAGTCTACTCAAGCCTATAAGAAGCTATGGGAAGTCTGCAGGGTAAAAGGTGGAAGCTACACAAGTCATCATTAGAGGTATGCTAGGACTTGTACTTTGGAGAAGGAGTGTCAGACGCGTGACATTGTAGCTGTCGGCTCCACTATAGCAATGTGTGAAGAACCAGAAAAGAGAAGCAGAGGCTTTCTTTTCTAGGCAACCTTTCAGAAAACAAAAAGAGAGAAAGGTTCATGTAGAACTCAGAGATTTAAGAGAGATCATAATCTGGTGAGTGAAAAAGAAGTCAGCAGGTGCTGATTGTAATCTGGGTAGTTTAGGATATAGTTCAAGAGCAAATCAGTAGGGACTGAGTTTGCGTAACTATGGGTAGAACAGACGTACTTGTTCTATTGGTATTCCAAACAGGAAACCTGGGTAGCTTAGGAAATATGGTCAGGGGTAAATCACTAGGTGGTGATGTTGTGTAACACTGAGTAGATAGATTGTAGGTGCAATCAGTTTCTATGAGTATTTCTGAATAAAAGATAAGGTTATCTTTTGATTACTATGTGTTGTATCTGAAGTTTACTGAAGTATCTCAAAGTACTCTATTTGAGAGGTCCGTGATTATTTCATTTGGTATCAGAGCGGGTCATCGACTGTGAAACAATGGGAAAACGGTCGATTCATACATGCACTATTGTACACGGTCCCATTAAGGATCTATACTCTTAAACTGTGCTAATACATACTCGTACTTTCTCAAAATTCAAATTTTCTACCTACAGATTTGTATTTGTGCGATTACATGCTTTGACCAATACCATGTTAGTCAATCGTTAAGAATTTCTGACGTGGACACAATTCCGTTAGATAAGGCATCCGTTATTTATATCCAACGTGGGAGATGATTCATTTGAAATTTAAAAACAAAAAAAAAGAACCCTAATTGCGTTTTATTTGATGGATTAAAACAAAACGTCGTTGTCTCTTTTTCTTGGTCACGACTCACAAG